TTCTCTCTCCCTTTCCCTCTACCCCTCTGCCCCACTCACATTCGCTCTCTCCCTCTCTGAAGTAAATACATAAATAAAATCTTAAAAAAAAAAAAAAAAAGAGAGAGAGATGTAACTTGACCAAGGTAACACAGCTGGTAAGTGACCGAGCCCGCATTACCGGCCAACTCGAGAGATAGTGGTCTTAGCCGTGTTTTATCTTGACTCCTTACTCATGGACTCTCTTTTTGGTTAACATTAACCATTTATTTACATGAAGCGTCTGCTAACTCCAGCCTGTCCGCAGGCCGTCTTTGCAAATAAAGTTTTACCGGAACACAGCCAGTGCATTATTGTCTGTGGATGCTCTCATGCGGTAAGGGCCGAGCTGAGGGACCCTTGCTATGGGTCCGCAAAGGGTAAAATGTTTACCACCTGGCCTCTTACAGAAAAGGTTTGCCAACCACGGATGTAGATGAATGTGCCAAATCAGGCGAAAATTAAGTTTCTGGAGTAAGAGTTTAAATATGGACGCTGCATGAAGACAGCTTACCCCGAAGGCTGGACCGGGCAGCAGATCCACAAATGCACAAATTAAAACGAAGAATATATTATACTGAGCCACTAAGAATGCTTTAGTGTCATGAGATGGGTCATTAACCTGAAGGTCTGGCCGGCAGGACACCCGCAACAACAGGCCAGCTCAGAGTCATCTTTGGAGGATAAAAGGACAAACCACAAGGCACTGCACAGGGCTAAGGGTGGGAGGACCGCTTTCTTGGATCCACAAGCACTCACGGCTGGGCTTTGGTCTTTGCCTCCCTAGGGCCCAGCACAGTGCCTGGTGTGTCACAGGGGGTGATGACCTTTTTCTGACTCAAGGCATGAAAATCACAGTCCTGCCCACCCACAGCCACCCCAATGGCAAGCAAACGCTGGTTCTAAGGTCCTTCCTGTAGCATGAGTTTCGGCCTGTGCCTTGTCCACAGGGCAGGGCGTCCACCCCCCCCCCGTCCCCCGCTGGGCTCGGTCGTCCCCACGAGGACACGGCTGCCAGCCCCCACCCCCGGGGCCAGGGTGCGTGGTACCTGTACTCGCGCTCCTGCAGGATCTCCACCGGGTCCAGGCCTTGCGGTTTCTGGATGGGGCTGATGCGGCTCTGCTTCTGCTGCAGCTGCAGGATGGGCGAGGGCTGCCCCGGGGCCGGCTGCGCCACGGAGGGCCCGGGCACGGCGGCC